CTACTAAGTCTTATATTTTGCATATCTACCATCCTTCTTCATCAAGATAAGATAGAGTTAATTGAGCCTTGTAGCTCCAGTAGTTCAGGCCCTTGATGGCTGCTTTACCTAGATTGGCTTATTTTGCTAGATCGTCATAAAATCTCCAAAAAATATGAAAAATTGTAATTAAAAATGTTGATATTCGTCCCTTTTGTTAGGCTCGAAGAAGACCTAAGACTGTCAGACAGTGATGACCAAGGAAGCGACATTTTAGCTGGTGGACAGGAGCAGCTGGATCGGGATACATTGGCTCCTAATATCGCCACTTTAGCACATCCAGCTGGTCTCCTGCCGACTCCACGACTTGAGTTCATGCCTGCGCCCGCACAAATTGGCTCCAGTGATGATATGGTTATTGATAACGACAGTGATGAACAACCGGAACCGATAAGTATTGAGTCTCAACAGCAGGCCATCGCTTCAAGCGGGATATTTCGTCTTGGTGCCGCCATTGCTGATGATGATCCCACACATTTAGGCTTTGCTGCCCGACCAAATCGAGGCCTGGCTCATTTAGAAAATGGGGAATGCCCAAGTGTGGAGGATAGATTGTTATCCTTATCGCACTCCAATCACTTGGCATCTGATATTTCTAATCCGTCACTGACAAGTTCTGGTATGCTTTGCCAAGTCAACGAGGAGACACTTGATTTAGATCGCCAATTATCCCGTCTCCGTCAGACGGTGAATGCTAGAGTGAGTGCTTCGTGTACATTTCGCGAGTCAATTTTTCTCTGTAATTAATTTTCCTTTCTATCGGATTTTAGGCCTCATGAATGCTGATGTATTTTGTTTAACTTAATACGGATACTATACTCCTTTTTAATATCTTAGTTGTGTTGATTTATATTTAATCCTGTCCATTTTTCGGTTGCAACTACGATAAATTTATATGGGCTATTTCCGATGGCTTCATTTCGTTATCATTTGTATTTTAGTTTTTCTTTTTCTTTTAATATACAATTTTTTACAAACCCTGATAAAGCTCGCGCTAAGCTTTAGCAACGACTCTTAATCAGAATTCCTAGTTGAGATTAGCCTCATTAAAGATATGAGCCTAAACAATAGTTATTACCAGAGCTAGAACCTTGTAAATTATTATGTAATATTAGGACATCGCGTTAATAGTTTGTTTTTACATAATTATTCATAATGGAATTTTTTTTGAATGCTAGTGATCTAACCTTTTCTGGATCAGTTAGGAATTAGCTTGTGAAATTAATTCGTGTGTTTAGCATTTTTTATGAATAAATTACAGCGCATTACGATATATATGCATAATTATATGGTCTATTCCGTCCATTTATTGCCTATACCTTTGTTCAAATTCCTTCATGCCTTAATTTTATAGACTCAACACGATTCCATCTTGAATGCCGGTCGCCAAACTGACAAACAGGCCGATACTGTACTCCGGATTCGTCACTTGATGCCTACCACGCCTCCATCTCCCTCACCACCATCCTTACCCTCCTTGCCATCCCTACCAACTTCACCACTGCTTCCTTCCTCCGGTCCCGGTACCCATGGCTCTTGTTTTGGGACCTTTGATAAATCCAATGCTCCATCAACGTTTTCAAAAAATGACCTAGCTGTCGTTCGACAGGAACCTTACTTGCCTCCACCGCCGCCGCCACCACCGCCACCGCCACCGCCATTGCCCCTGTCCACTCTTATGCTCAGCAGGCCTACGGTAGCGCATATGACTTACTCGGATGAGCATTCTAGCCCATCAAACCAATCTGAAACCGATTTGCTGGCCAATAGGCGCTCGGCTGTACTCGAGCCTCGCGACCGGCTACCAGCGCTCTTGAAGACGCCTGTAGGGACTTACCGGGAATCCCTTGATGTATCTGACATCCGAACGAGGTGAGTTTTCTGTTGCATGTCACTGACTTTATGTAAAATAGCAACTAGGCTAATCCTTGTTGGATTTAGTGCAAACTTGGAGAAGTAGATTGAAGTTTGTTAAAAAATGTGAATTTGAGTGATTTCTTTCAATCCGAACAAATTATGTTAGATTTGTTTTTTTTAAAGTAGATTTTTTGAGACCAAAAATCACATCGAATCAAATTTCTAACAATGTTAGACTCCATGGTTTGACTGATTTTTGTTCAAAATCTACTTATTCTGTGGAAAGTAATGTTACACAGTGCAAATTATCTCCGATATCTGTGCCAACATCAAATTCAGATTCAATATTTGCATGCTATTTCTTACATCTTATTCACTATTCATTTCATTAATGTATGATTGCTATTTTTTTATTTGAAGGTCTAGATAATATTGCCCTTGTTTTTTTTGTTTAGTCATGATCTAAGGGTACTTATAGGATTATACCCCGTTATACGTCATGTATTGTTGAGCTTACTTCGATTTCGAATAAAAATGTTTGGTGAAGAGATTCAGGTCGATCTTGCTAGAAGACGTCGGCTTCCTCTTAACCAACTGTCGATTGGCTTTACTGGAACATTAGTTTTGACAATGTTTTCGAGGTATCTTTCTCTATTCTGGTGAAAACGTGCTAAGCTTTCGTCGTCAACAGACCAGCCGGTGAGTTTTGTTAATTCATTAGTTTGAATGTGGTTGTAAGGATGGTACTCTTCTCTGGTGATGTCTACCATACGACGGACGAATGCTTAGAACATTTTCACCGGATATATACCATTGTGTTAATGAACAAGATCAGCTCAAACTAACATTACTTGAGTTTAATTATCCTCGAAGTCTGATTGAAAATAAACTTGGATTAATAAGGAATAAGTTTTTGAATGGTAAATGCATAAGGAGAGATAAAAAGCCTTTTCCCCATTTTGGTCTTTGCCTTGGTCCATTCTCTCTAAAAAGATAGACTAACTGGTAAGGAAATGAGGATTAAAAACGGTTTTTAGGGAAACTACGACGCCTTCTTCAGTTATGCCCACTTTTAGAGAGAAAGTCGACTCATTATTCAGACCAAGTTGCTACAGGCTAATGTGTTCAGATGGTCACTTATATTGAATAGACTTGTCTTCCCATTCGATAAAAAGTGGCTGAGCACAAAAGCGCCTGTAGAGGCCGTTGGTTAAAAATCAGAGCTAGCTGAGCACAAGGCAGAAACTGAACATGAGATTGGATGGTCTCATATTTCTTGATTTGCTGATCATGGTATGTCTTCCGCTAAACGTAATATTATAGAAGCCATCGAAATAAACCGAATAGGGAATACATTGAATGCAAGCAATACTGGCAAGATTTTAAGTAAAAACTATTTGTGCTTAACTTGCAGACTCAATGATTTTGAATCGCCTGTAAAAAGGAGGCGAGTCAACTAATCTTCTTTTCTTGCTTCATTTCTAACCGCGGTCATTTTAATGTAATTATTAGCCCCCTTTTTCTCTCATGAAGACAAAAAGCACATCAATGTAACCAAGTGTGTGTCCTATCTTGCGCAATCGGAGTGATGGTTAAAATAGACAGAGAAGGCGAGTGATGGTGGTCGTCGAATCTCGATAGTTGAGAGGAAATGTTGCTTTTTTGTTCTAATTACTTTGAGCCCCCACTGCTGGTTTCATACGTATGCGAATACATGTAGTAACACACATACACACTCACATGCTTCAAGGTTTATATTGACTTGAATTAATCAAATTACTTTATACCTCATCTAAGAGCTTGGCTATTTATTATATATGCAGCATTTTGGATGGGGTTGGTGAGATTTCTTGACTCGTCATACGACGGACAAATGCTTAGTAAGTTTTCACCAAAATCGAAGGCGATTGCCCCCGAAACAGCCTCAAAAAAGTGTTCCACTTAAGCCAATCGATAGCTTGTCAAGAGGAATCCGTCGTCGTCTTTTGATGAGATTGATCCTCGAATCTCTTTCCTAAATACTTTTGCTCGAAATGAAAGTAGGCTCAACACTTATGAAACAATAGATTTCTTTAAACCCAATTTTCTTCGCATACCTTCCGCCATTGTCATATTCTTCGGTATCGTACAATTGGCTCGGAAAATTATCAGACTCTTCAATTAAACCTTTAATGAGGTGTGCCATGCTAAAACTCGTCAAATCAACAAGTAAAGTCAATCGTATTAACCAATTTTCTGTTGAACGATTCCGAAACTTTTTTCTCTGACCACCTATCTTTAGATAACTAAGTCTCATCTTGGTCCCACTTTCTATCTTTTTGTTCGATAGACTTTGAATATGCCTTGTTTATATGGGTTATCGAAGTGTATTTACCTTTATTGTTGGTTCTTTATTTTCCTTACCAAAGTTTCTGATCCCAATTTGTACCGTCATTGGGAAATTCAGTTTACCTAACGTT